GATTCGTATGTGGGATTACTTCTTTTAAATTCAATGTGTCTTGCGGTTGAATATTTTATATCGATTATCAATTAGGTTTTTTGAAAATTCAAATATCAATTTTATGCGATGTTGTTTTGTCTTGAATTTTTTATATAAAAAAGAGTTTACTGCTTCCTGTGTTTCATTGCTTAGTCCGTAGTTATTTTGCCTTTGGTTTTCTGCTGCTTAACGAAGTTTATGTGTAATAATGTTGGAAACAGGGTCTCCATTTTGCACCCGATGTCTTTTGATCACAACAAGGAACATTCGTCAATTATCATAGCATTTTGTTTTATGAACCGAGGCAGACTGTGGTTGCGGAGGATATTGTTTCGGGACTGGACTTGAAACTCCTTTTCTTTGGAGGAAAGGTTCTTGATTCATTCACTTCTTGTGAGGAATTTCTAGTTTGAGATTTAAGGGTTCTTATTAGATAGGGGGACTCTCATGAGGAAATCATCCTTGGCTCCTGGGTTTCGGTTCAAGCCAACTGATGTTGAGCTTGTGCAATACTACTTGAAGAGAAAGTTACTGGGGAAAAGGCTTGGTTTTAAAGTCATTGCAGAGGTTGACATTTACAAGTATGATCCTTGGGGTCTTCCAGGTATAGGTCACTTCACATTCTCGCCTTTGAATTCTTTATCTATCATCTGGTTCATTCTTGGTATTATTTAGTTTCTTACTGTGTTTTGTTTTTCCTTTCCAGACAAATCTTGCTGGGAAAGTGGAGATCTGAAATGGTATTTCTTTTGTCCGAGAGAAAAGAAGTATCGTAATGGGAATAGAATTCAACGTGCCACTGAAGGTGGTTACTGGAAGACCACGGGAAAGAATAGATCCGTTGTTTACAGTGGTGAAGTTGTTGGGTGGATAAGAACTTTAATTTTTCACACTGGTCGAGCCCCACGAGGAGATCGAACAAATTGGGTTATGCATGAGTATAGGCTTGAAGATCAGGGCCTGGCTGATAGGGGTGTGCCTCTGGTAAGTGCTACTCTTCCTCCTTTAATTATTTTTATTTATTCCTTTTATTCAATGGAATTTTTTCATGCTGCTGAATTGGACTGATAATGTTATTTTTCCTTACTTCATACAATTTGTTTTACTGCTTTTCATGGCTTGTGGGTTTTTGTTGGATAAGTTTTGTGGCTTTTTGGTGTTGCAGGACTCATATGTGATCTGTATGATTTTCCAAAAAGATGGGTTGGGGCCGAAAATTGGTGCACAATATGGTGCACCCTTTAAAGAGGAAGACTGGACTGATGATGAAGCTGAAATTTGTTCAGAAGCAATCCCACATGAAAATATGTCTGAGCCAAACCTTGTAGTGCCGAGCAACTGTAATAGTTCCATCACTACTAGCAGACATTCCCTGAAGGGTATACACACAAGTCCTTATGAATCGTGCATATCAGATGTTTTACCACCTTCTTGCAATGTTCACCAATTGGTTTCCAGTAATCATGTTACAATGGAGAAGCTTCGTGGTTCCAATGATGATCTCCTGTCAATGTTGAATTGTTTCACTGAAGGAAGCACTTCCTTAATGAAAGAAAATGACAAAAATGAGGTGTGTAATGCGCCCTTCTCTTTTTTCTACATGTAGTATATATCATTCCTGATCTATAGCAAGTGGAAATGCAAAACATGATATAATTTATGCAATCAGGATAGGTTTATGTTGTGACACTCTGCTTGTGCCATAGATTTCCAATTTCAGATGTGCTAATGTGGCACAATATAGTTGGGTATATTTTACTTTTGTCATTGATGTCATCCAGGTTGTTGAAAGAGACAAATTAGCCTTGTTTTTTTCTTTTTCTGATGAGGGTCTTGTGTGCTCTGCAAATTCCGTGCATCTGTAGTTTGCGTTATTTCCTTCATCTCTCTCTCTCTCTCTCTCTCTCTCTCTCTCTCAGCAACCTAATTGGTTCCTTTTTCCTTTTTCATACTGCTTTACTTTGGAGAGGTTTGGTGTTTCTCTGACTGTTTTTCTGTTTTTCTGCTTTTACTTTTCCATGGATGGAGGGCAAATTTTCCTATTCTTTATTCATGGAGAAATGATATATTATTGTAGTGCAGATGTTTTTTCTTGAAGCTAGAGTTTTAAACTAGATGGCATAACTAGAAAAGTTGATGGCTTTGAATTTCAATTTTGAAAATTTCATTATATCTGTTAAAAGAAAAAAAAAAGATTCCATAAGTACATTAGTACAAATTAATTATCTTGCTAATGTTCTTTAAACTTCTAATGTATGCTAATGTAAAACTTCTTCACGGTTTGCAGGAGCTTGGTAATGTCATTGCTTCTGGAAATGCTAGTGCTACACCCAATTTCAATAGTGATGATATTTATGAAGATTTAGGAGACTTGGGGAAGATGGCTAGAGTGAGTGAAGATGGATATAATTTCTCCAATGTGCATAATTCAATCTGTGCTCCGGCTCAAATGCAGCTAGGTGACAATGAGCAATTCTTGGAGCTGGATGATCTATCTTGGTAAACCGTTGAATTGCCATGATTTGACATATACTCAGCCACCTACTTTGATGGGAGAGACACCTTTTCCGGTTGAAGACGAGTTGAATGTGTTTGATAACTTAACTTCTGAAATTATTTTTGCTCTCTAGTCCTTCTGATCAAATTTGTTAACCAGTTTGCTAACTTTCAGAAGTTCACCTTATCAGACACAACTTTGAGTTGCCTCTGCACATTCATTTTCATTGTTGGGACAGAACGGTACTGAAAATTGTGTTTACCGTATTGTATTAAAAATTATCAGGTTTACCTGGGATTACCGTATTGTTTTACTACAATCTTTTACGAGGGTTTACGCTTAAACCAGCTTGTGGACTTTCGTAGTGTTTTTCCTTTGGGTCAGTAACGTTGAGGTTATAATCGTGAGGTTGTGTGACTTGGCTTATGTTTTTTTGTTCACGTGTACTTGTGTTATTGTTGCTTTTGCTTTGAGAAATTCTTTGTTGTCTTTTGCCTCAATCATATTATCTTAGTATTTGAACATTTTTTATTTATATTTAAAAACTATTTTAGCGAGGTTTTATTTATTTATTTGCTTCAATATTTTGTTGAATTTAACATAATGAATTGAACTTTTTTAATGTTTTTTCATTTTGTTTTTAAAATGTTTTATTTTCAATTTCCCTGTCCGTAGTAGAGTTTGGCCTAAACATTGACTCTATACGACATGCGGAAGTGAGGATTTTTGAAAAATTAATTAGAATAAATAAATAAATAGCCATCCCTAGAGTAAGTTCCAACGCAAATTTTGATGATATTCGCATCATGTGGAGCAAAACTCTAATTTTCAACTTTGGAAGATCGCACCTTACTCATGCAAATCTATTCATTTCACTTTCCCGATGAGATCGCACTTACAAGCTTTAGCCTTACGAAGAGTGACAATGGACTTTTAAAAGACGAATGAGAACATACAATTTTTTAAAAAGAGTGTAAGTAAATAAAAGAGGAATGAAAAAATCAGTTTCATACGTTAATCTAAACAGTTTGGGTTTTTGCAATCAAACTTTCCATAGCCTCTTCTGGTCAAAATTTCAACAACCAGCAATCAGCAGCAGTACATTTTTTGGGGGTCAAATGTGAGGTTGTTGATGAACTTTAACCAGCAATCAACAGTGCATTAGCAAAGGAACTTTAACATAATGTCATGAATTTTTATTTATTTATTTTTTAATCGGGGTAATGGAGGTTTCTAATGAACTTTAACAAACGGAGATTTACATTCTCCCTTAATTGTTATTTACTTAAAATCCAATTCCATTCAATGCAAATCTAAATTCAAATTGGATCAATTTGAAACATTTTCTTTTAATTTGTATGTTTTTTTTTGGGGTTTCGACAGAAACGGTCCCCTAACTTTTTCTCTAATATCATTTTGGTTCCAACTAAAATTTTCATTTCAATTGTCTTCCAACTCTTCATTTGGTATCAAAATGGTCCTACCATTTCAATGCTCCAATTTTAGAGATAAATTGGAATTTTTAATCACACATAAGTATTATAAATTTAAAACAAAAGTAAAAAAACCATAAATTTTAAAAAGTAATAACACACAAACCCCCCCTCCCCCTCTCACGACACCATTCCCCCCATCTCAGCTCTCTACTCTCCCTCTCCCCTTCCACACAAAAATCTGGGTTTGATTGTTCATCGGTTACTTTTTTTAAATTTTTCGTAATTTTATTTTTTGTATTTATCTGATTGAACTTTTTAAATTAATTTAAACAATAGAGAATTTTTTTTGATTAATTTTTAAGTCATTCTCAGCAAAAAAAAAAACCACGTGGCTAGTGAGATTCAATTTTCTTTTATTTTCTTTAAAGTTTTATAATAGTTTCCTTTAGTTTTTAATTATTTATTAATATTTTAATTTTTATGGACAATTTCCCTTCAATTTAATAGCAATATTAACAGTCTTTAACGGTGAGATTGTTTTGATACCAAATAAAGAGTTAGAGGGTTATTGAAAAGAAAATTTTAATTAGCGGACCAAAATAATATTGAGGCAAAAGTCGAAGGACCATTTCGGTGGAAAACCCTTTTTTTCTGCTTGAAATAAAAGAATTAAAACAATTCAACCCAGCCAATATATAAACCACAAAACGGAGGTTCAACAATCCTCGCTCTTCAAAACTGTTAATTAGTTCAATTTATCTACTCACAAACAACAACCAATTAACTTCTAATTTTCTAAACTGAAAGAGTAAGGGTTTATGGCCAGGCCCGGCCCGGCCCATATTTAGACTGGCCCAAACAAATAAGAAACTCCTTTTTAAATTTATTTGGGGTAAAAAAAAAAAACAAGCAAATTTGGGCCATAAAATGAATAAAGACATTTCTTTGGGTCCAAAACTAAATAAATAATTATTCGGACAATAAAGTAAATAATAAAGATTTGACCGCGTTATAAATTGACCAAGTAGCGTAACGAAAACAACACAGTCCGCACTCTACTGCAGTGTTCTCAGTTCGCTCGTCGTCTGTTCCTGTTTTTCAATCTCGTTCTCCATTTTAGGTATTCCTCGCTCTTTCGATTCAAAATTTCAATTTCTCTGGTTCTTGTTTCTAGGGTTTGATTCATTTTCTTTATTGATCTCTCTCTCGCTCTCTCTCTTCTTTCATTCACGTCTTTGTTTTTGGTCAATGTAGTTCTTTTTCGTCAATTCAAATATTGTTCTCTTACGGGTTCGTGGGTAGGTGACGGAATTTGAATATTGAATATAATTAAGGAGATTATTCGCATGCGTTGATTCTGTGTTTCAATTTGGGTTCTTTCTTTTTGCGATCTAGGGTTTGAGTGTTTTTATGTGGGTTTTGAATTTTATTGATTTCTGGGTTATATGATTTTGGTATGATTTGTTTCGAGAATTCTGCTCCTTTTACGAGTTTATCGTTCTTTCTTTTTGCTTGCAAGGGTTTGTGGGTTTTTATTAGGGTTTCCAATTTTATTGCTTTCTGGTTTAGATGATCATTTGTATGATTTTGTCTTGAATTTTTTTTTTTATATAACAGAGTTTACTGTTTCCTGTGTTTCATTGCTTAGTTCTTAGTTATTTTGCGTTTGGTGTTCTGTTGATTAACGAAGTTTATGTGTATAATGTTGGAAACAGGGCCTTCATTTTGCACCCGATGTCTTTTGATCACAACAAGGAACATTCATCAATTATTAGAGCATTTTGTTTTATGAACCGAGGCAGACTCTGGTTGCGGAGGATATTGTTTCGGGACTGGACTTGACTCTCCTTTTCTTTGGAGGAGGGGGTCTTGATTCCTTCACTTCTTGTGAGGAATTTCTAGTTTGAGATTTAAGGGTTCTAAGAAGTGAAGGAATTTCTAGTTTTTTTCTAGTTTGAGATTTAAGGGTTCTTATTAGATAGGGGGACTCTCATGGGGAAATCATCCTTGGCTCCTGGGTTTCGGTTCAAGCCAACTGATGTTGAGCTTGTGCAATACTACTTGAAGAGAAGGTTACTGGGGAAAAGGCTCGGTTTTAAAGTCATTGCAGAGGTTGACATTTACAAGTATGATCCTTGGGATCTTCCAGGTATAGGTCACTTCACTTTCTCGCCTTTGAATTCCTTATCTATCATCTAGTTCAGACTTTATATTATTTAGTTTCTTACTGTGTTTTGTTTTTCCTTTCCAGACAAATCTTGCTGGGATTGTGGAGATCTGAAATGGTATTTCTTTTGTCCGAGAGAAAAGAAATATCGTAGTGGGAATAGAGTTCAACGTGCCACTGAAGGTGGTTACTGGAAGACCACGGGAAAGGATAGATCTGTTCTTTACAGTGGTGCAATTGTTGGGTGGATAAAAACTTTAATTTTTCATACGGGTCGAGCCCCATCAGGAGATCGAACAAATTGGGTTATGCATGAGTATAGGCTTGAAGATCAGGGCCTGGCTGATAGGGGTGTGCCTCTGGTAAGTGCTACTCTTCCTGCTTTAATTATTTTTATTTCTTCCTTTTTATTCAATGGAATTTTTGTGGAATGTAAAAATAAATAAATTTCTTCTGCTGCAACCGATTAAAATTTTTTCATGCATCCAAATTGGATTGATCATGTTGCTATTTCCATTCCCTTATTCTTTGTTATTTTGCTGCTGATGGTTGGTCAGTTGATATTGATCTTAGTTGGCTCTTTTGATGTTGCAGGACTCATATGTACTCTGCATGATTTTCCAAAAAGAAGGGCTAGGGCCAAGAATTGGTGCACAATATGGTGCACCCTTTAAAGAGGAAGACTGGAGTGATGATGAGGTTGAAATTACTTCAGAAGCAGTCCAAGTTGCAATCACGCCTGAGCCAGATCTTGGGCTGCCTTGCAATTATGTCAGCCCAACTGCTACTAATGCACATTCTGTTGGGGATATTGGCGTAGGTCCATCTGGATCAGGCATTTATGATATTTTACCACCTTTTTGCGAGGTTTCCCAGCCGGTTTCCAGTAATTACGTTATACTGGAGATGCCTCTTGCTTCTGTTGGTGATGATATAATTTCAATGTTTGATTGCTTTACCGAAGAAAGTGCTCTCTATACAGATGAACCTAAAAAAGTTGAGGCGGAAGGTCGTTTAGAAACAGTCCAAAATGCAAACATGCCTAGTACACATTCCCCTGAAGTTATAGGCGTAGGTCCTTCATTCGAATCATGCGGATTTGATGTCTTACCACCTTGCAATGTTAACGAATCGGTTTCCTGTAATTTTGTTACAATGGAGAACCCTCCTGCTTCTAATGGTGTTGAGACCCTGCCAATTATGGATTGCTTTGCAGAAGAAAGCATGTTGTTTGTGAATGATAATGGCAAAAATGAGGTGTGTAATGCGCTCTTCCCTTTTCCTTACATGTAGTATTGGCATGTAACATTCTTGATTTTAGTGGCAAGTGGAAATGCAAATTAGGATTTAATATTTGGATTCAAATTTTTTTTTTCTGAGTACTGTTATCAGTTACCGCATGTACTGATGTGTTTGCCATTTTCATCTTGGCTTTTTCCAGTCATAAGTATGCCGATTTTTTATTTGGTTATGTGAATCTTGCAATGCCTTTGGTGTTTATTTGACTAAGAAGTCTTTTCTTTCCTATTTGTGTTATCATTTTAAAACACTCTCTGTGCGTGTGTTGTAGCTTGCCAATACATATTTGCAAATGCTGTAACTAATTAGTGTCCTTTATGCTATCAGATGCTTCTTTCAGATATGTTTGGTCCTTGTCACTGTTTCCTTTCCCATAGCTGGAGAGTAAAGAAAAACCCTGCTTTATTTTGCTAGGAGTAATTGTATTCTATTATCCTCTGCTGATGAGGATTTTCTTTCTCTTCCTGCTTTCTTGATCATGCTCTCTTGTTTTTCCAATGAGCAATGATATGTTACTGCTTATAGTAATATCTTACTGTTCTCAACTACAGAATGTCATTGCTTGAAGCATGAGTTTTAAACTAGATGGTGTAACTTCCTTACTAACATACATTTTAATTTTTCTTACATACATCTGTATCTGTTGGCTTCCTTAAGTGTAATGTTTGCATATTATCCTGCAGGAACTTAATAATCTCGAACATTTGGGCAATGCTACACCTCATTTCAATACAAGCAACATATATGAAGATCTAGGAGACTTGGAAAACTTGGGTAGAGTTGGTGAAGTCGGATATAATTTCTGCAGTGAGCCTGATTCTAGGAGCCATTTTCTGGAGCTATATGATCTCGACCAACCTCAGCATCCTAATCTCTTCTTTTAGTTATGTAATTTTTATGGCAAGTTTACTTTGCATTGATGGTTACCGATTCCATATTTTATTTTGATTTCAACTATATTATCCAATCATGTATCCCTTTATGTTTCTTAGCTTGTATTACCTTTGCTGTCTTTGGGCTGTTTAATGAATTATTCACTATTGACCAAAGGAAAATTTATCGCTAGAAGTGTAAATTTAAGCCTGAGTATTTCCAGAAACACTACTTTTTTCTTTTTGGTTGCTAATTCTTAGTTAAAATCGGTAGAAAGTTATTTTGAATGAAATAAAAAGAGGGAAGGATTTAGACCACGTTTTCTTTTTCTTGTTTTCATCTTCCCTCATACTCTCATAATCTCCATCTCTGTTTCGCATTTTCTTTTCCCTTCTTATCTCTCTCTACTTTCTCTCTTTGAAAATTCTAGTTTTATTATCTACAACCATAGCACTAGGGTTATGAAAAAAAAAAGTTATTACTGATTTCCATAAAAAATAAATGACCGATTTGTCTCAACCACGTAAAAGGTCCCCAACCAATTCAAGAAATATTATTGCAAACGGATTCAGTCAAATTGGTAAACATCATTTGAAGTTAAAGCACCATCAGTCCAGTCGGATTGAACTGAGGTGTGCCTGCCAACTATCTGAATAACAACTGTGTTTTAGGACCAAAATATAAGAGCCAAAAAGAAAAAAGAAACACCAGCAGCTAACCCCAAGTGGGAAAACAGAGAGCAAGACCAGTTTCAAACCAGCTAGAAGGTGAAAAATGAAAAAGAAGAAAAAGTCATGCACTCAAATTTCTGGGGTGCAAGTGGAAGGACTTTAAAATTTTATATTGAGGCAAATTGTCACCATCAATGTGAATGGGAGAATGAGTTTCATAATTCACTCTCTTTGACTGAATGAATCCATTCCATATATAAAGTAGAAGCATTGAACATTTCCATTGGTTAAATACCACCTAAAGTAGAAGCAGCAATTAATTTGAAGTAAAAGATTCAAACCCTAAACTACATGGATCTGGAAGGAAGAAAATTAATATAAAATTTTGGTCAATATATACCTTCTAGTTAAACTTAAAGGTGAGATTTAATCAAACACCGAGTCTTGACTTGGTTCTAAATACTAAGTGTGTATATATATATTCAAATCCTTACCTGCTTCGACATGGAAAATCATATCCAGGAGTACAAGACCAGTTCATTCTCCCCAGTCTATAAATAGGCTTCTAACCCATAAAGGATTTTCATCCCACAACCAAATCTTTATTACCTAGCTAATTAAGCCAGCTGCAATGAAAGGTGTTTATTTCCTCATAAGCACTCTTGCCATATTGGCATCTGCAACCTTCCTTGTCTCTGCCTCTGACCCCAGTCCTCTTCAGGACTTCTGTGTAGCACTGAATGACACCAAATCTGCTGGTATGCATTAATATATACTTGTGTTAATTATTTATATTCTGCCCCGCAATTATTTCCACATGAATTATTTTCATTAGATATTAGGTTCATGAAGATCGTTTTTCTGTTAACTATAGCTTCTTCTCATGCATGAAAAATCTATTATTACGTACTTTTACATATGAATAATGCTATTTGTATTACATTTACTGTCCATCTTAGTGATCATCTCTCTGATATATATTAAAGTAGTTTCCACTTACTACGTGGATTTTACCTCCGGATAGCTCTAACACTAAAGTTTAATATAACTTATTTTTTTGGGTTGTAGAAGCAGTGTTTGTGAATGGGAAGTTCTGCAAGGACCCAAAGCTTGCCAATGCAAATGATTTCTTCTTTTCTGGCCTCCAAAATCCAAGAAACACACAAAATCCGCTCGGTTCAAATGTGACAGCCGTGAATGTGGACAACCTACTAGGACTGAACACTCTCGGCATATCCTTGGCTCGCATAGACTTTGCACCAAATGGCCTAAACCCTCCTCACACTCACCCTCGTGCCACTGAAATCCTTGTGGTCTTGGAAGGAACACTCTATGTTGGTTTCGTCACATCCAACGGTGATGGCAATCGCCTATTCACCAAAGTGTTGAACAAGGGAGATGTGTTTGTGTTCCCAATTGGCCTCATTCACTTCCAACTCAATGTGGGACACGTCAACGCTGTAGCCTTCGCTGGGCTTAGCAGCCAGAACCCAGGAGTGATCACCATAGCCAATGCAGTGTTTGGCTCCAAGCCTCTCATCAACCCTGATGTTCTAGCCAAGGCCTTCCAAGTGGACAACAATGTGGTTGACTATCTTCAGAAACAGTTCTGGTACGACAACAATTAGTAAAATACAACAAATAATTATAAGGCCAAGGAAAGAACAACCAATCGATTTGCTTGGTTGGATGTATTAAGTTGGCCAAAAACTGAACTAGACCGGTTTGGTCCGATTTCAATTCCAGTATCTTGTAGTGAAGATAGGGACCGGGCCGAACCAGACAGATTGTGGTGGATTTCAAACAACGTTTCTTTTTCATTTTTTCATCTTCTCATAATCTCCGTATCTGTTTCACATTTTCTTCTCCCTTGGGAGCTCTTAATCTTAACAATATTGTTGTTATGAAAAAATATGAAAATAAAAAAACAAAGTTTTTTTATTTGAAAAAAGAAGAAGAAACTTTGGGATTGCTAAATAACAAACGAAATAAATATATAAAGCAACGGAACCATCATAGTATTTTTGAACTACTCCAAAAAGAAGGGTGGTTATTGGACTAACAGGGTCAGCTACCGAGCTAATCTCTACTTTCTCACTTTGAAAATTCTATAATCTACAACCATAACAACTAGGGTTATTAATATATATATATATATATATATATTCGACTTACTGATTTCCATAAAAATTAAATGACACATTTGTCTGTTTGAAATATTACTGGAGGGACTGTTTAAAAGCTACTCAGTCATGTTGGTAAACATCATTTGAAGTTAAGCAGCATCAGATTGAATTCAGGTGTGCCTGCCAATTATCTGAATAACATCTGTGCTTTAGGACCAAAAAGAAAACACAATATGAGAAAAACAAGAAAAAAAGAACACCACCAGCTAACCCAAACGGGAAAATAATCAGGAGCAGCGGCTGCTTTGAGCAAAGACCATTTTTTTTTTCTTTCTATGAACTGGGGGGTTTAAAACCCCAAGAAACACAGAGCAACTACTCACTACAGAGACCAACCGAGTCCTAGTGACTCCTAGCAAATCATCAACAAGGCTAGAGCCAATCCAACTCGGAGCCATATCAAGAAAACAAACACCTAGGTCCAGACTGTAGCTCCGCTGAGCAACACAATTAGCAACCACATTTCTTTCTCTATAAACATGCTGAAGAGCACAGGTATCAAACTTTCCCATAAGCTCCCAGCAGCTTGAAACCAGAGACACCATAGGATGTGAACCAAGAGCAGTAGAATTCTGCATCAACTTAATAGCCACTGCAGAATCCATTTTAGCAAGACAACTTTCAACCAGCTAGAAGGTGAAAAAAATGAAAAAGAAGAAAAAGTCATGCACTCAACGTTAATTGGTGGACTGACTGTAAAATTTTATATCGAGGCAAATTGTCACCATCAATGTTAATAAATAAGGAATGCTTCTGACTTTTGTTCTAGAAAATAAACCCACATCATCCTGCTATAGTCATCAACAAAGAGAAGAAAGTATTTCTTGCCATTAAAAGATGGTGTTCGAGTCGGCCCGCATATATCTGCATGTACCAACTCAAGAGGGGCTCTTGCTTTCCATGTTGATTGTGAAAATGGTAAGTGGTGGAATTTTCCAAAAATACAACCTTCACATATTGCTTTCTCAGATTGAATAGAAGGAAGGCCAATCACCATATCTTTCTTATGTAAGAGCTGTAGACTTCTTTGATTTAGATGTCCGTATCTCATATGCCACAAGTGTGATTCTTCTACATTTTCAGCTTTCAAAACATAGTTTTCTTTTGATGTCATGATCAACGGAAAGACTTTGTTTGCCATCATTTTTATCTTAGCCACTACAATGTTATTCTTTTTATCAGAAATAACACAGTGATCATCATCAAATTTAACAGAGAAGCCTTTTTGTAGGAGTTGTCCTACACTTAATAAATTTTGTGCCAAGTTAGGAACATATAGCACATCATAGATTAGTTTTGGTGTACCTTCTCGAGTTTGAACTGAGATAATACCCTTGCCTTTCACGTTGTGAAGCTTTCCATCTCCCAGCTTGACTTGTGAATTCACATTTTCTTCAAATTTGACAAAACATTGTCTGTTTCCTGTCATGTGGTTACTGCATCCGCTATCCACGTACCATATATCTTGTGGTTCTTGACGAGCGCTGAGACATGTATAAAATAGTT